CTCCAGAGTGGACATTGTCATGGGAGTTGACGTGTTAGTCTACGGCTTAGCGGGAGCTGGGCACGGGTGTCAGACAATGCACTTGTGTGCGTGGATCGCTTGCTGACCTGCCAGCTGTGTTAAAGTCCTGCGCCGGCCGCACCTGCGTGGCGTTATCGAGTGCATTGTGGCTGAGCGAACCGGTCGGTTGCCGTGGCAACTCTTCGTCAGGGCTGTTTGCGCACGCCGTTGAGTTGGCCACTGACACTATCTAGATGGGCCTTGGTTAGGGGACCTATGGGTTTTGGAGCCTTCCTTAAGTATTGTTAACAGCAATGTACAAAAGTCGATTTGAGATAATCAACTTCTCTGGGCTCGGACGGTTTTAGTTTCGAAGGCTGACTGAAGAGACTCTCGAATTGTATCTCGAGATCTAGTTGTTTTTGCTTCCGTTGTGCATTGCAAAACCTAGGACCAAGAGATAGTACTTCTAGGGGCGTTTTGCCAAGACGTATTGATGAGTAGTTATGCACGTATCGTTCCGGATTGTTTGGAAGTACTGTCTGTTCTTTCACTGGTTGGATACTTCGTAGAAATTTAGTCCACTTGACCTCGGTTCTCCTATTTCTGACTTATTTTACGTAGTTTTCAAAGGCTATTCTCTCAGGATTTCCGAGACGGTCGAGGGCGGCAGTTTTCTGGCACAGGTTCCGCTGGAGCTCCTGGCTTCCGTCTCTAACTGCGTCTAGATGATTTACCGCACATCTTCGTAGTGGGAGTGATATGGTTCTTGTGCAGGTTTCTCCAGTAGTGTACACAATAAAGGCGGAAACTGCATGATTTTCAGGACCGCGTGTTTTTTGAGAGTTCAAGGGTCCGTCCTCAGTAATATAAATCAACAGTATGTTAAGTGGCGTTAACGGGACAAAAAGTAATAGGTTCTCAAAATTGGGAGATGACAACATTCAACTGAATTTGCAAACAAAATCAGTATTCACCATATCGGTTAAGGCCATATTTGGAAAATTTTCAAATTTATGGTAAACTTCGGTGTCCAATTAGGAATTGCCATATCTTTTATCTTTGAGCATTATTTCAAGCTATTACAAACACAGTAAGATGCCGGCCTTTGAACGACAGTTCCTTCGGCCTCCTTAAAAAAGGTAACTTGAGTAAAAATTAATAATTACGCAGTGTGAATTTTTTCGTATATATTTTCCACACCCTAGCAAATTCAAATTGTTATAACCGAGTGTGTTCCTTTGTCAACACCGGTTATGTCCCGACCGGTATTTTATAGAAAGACATAAGTTGGGATGCCGACTTTACAGTTCTTACATAAGCAAAAAAGTTGCTTTCCTGTACTCATTTAATAGAAAATTACATCTTGTTCAAGTCTATTTTTTCCGCTCAACGGAAGGCTATTTTATGCAGGCTGTTTTGAATAGGCTCTTCAAAAGTATTGCCTGCTACCTTAAATGTACTTAATTATACTAAACTATTAGAGGACCTTCTTAAGAACCTTATTATAGCCTTTCCTTGAATGTATATTCATTTGCTAAGGACTAAATACGTAAGATTTATTAGCTTGCTGCCCATTCGTATAAATTATACCGGTTTCATTCAGGCAGGCCCCTTGATTATGGGTAACTTTAAGGGTTGGGATTGAGGGGTTCACCCCATCGTCTCAACGACCGATGGTCAGGCTGCACCGACCTCTTCCAAATGTGCACCTTGGGGTACTTCTCACCTAGAAG